CACCCCATATCTGATGCTGAGGGTACAATGTGCGCTGAAATGGTTCCAGTTTTTGACGGCGATGAGGGGATGGGTATTCCCAATGCGGATTTTGTGATCTATTTGGGCCTTTCTACCAAAAAGCCGGGTACGAAGATTTGCACCTACGACGTGAAGGGACGCCCAACATCTGCCATGATCAAATTGAATCCGTTTGAGATCAAATATACGCCGCACTATGTTCGCGTTGTTGCACACGAGATTGCGCACGGGCTTGGGTTCTCCATGGACGTCGACAAATTCAGGGAAATGGTGGTCGGTAAAGAGAATAGCAACTACACAGGGTATGAAGAGCTCAGCAGTCCAGAAATAAATAAGAAAGTGAAGGAACACTATGGTTGTCATGAAGACATTGGAATGAAATTGGATAATTCTCCACCGGAGAGCGAGAACGATGCTGACACTCACTTTGATGGAAGGGTTGCGAGGAACGACCTGATGGCTCCACTTCACGGAAGCCAACACGGAGAGATGTCGTACACTGCGTTGACCCTTGCCGCATTTGAGTCTACAGGGCATTACAAGGTGGATTACTTCAAGGCTGAAGATATGGGTGGGAAGAAAAGCTGTGAATACCTTAAAGGTGAGTAGAACAGGATGGCAACGATTCCAGGTTGGACGATATTTTCTGTGGTCCCAATTACAGAGCAACCGTTTCGATGTATACCAGTTTGATTTGTTCTTCCTCCGCATTCTCTGGGCTCTGTTTTGCTGCGGTTCACTGTGCCCGCCTGGTGATGTGTGTGTGTTCCGTGATATTACTTGCCAGCTATTGCTTTTGCCCATGGGAATGGGATATTTCCCCAACATGTTTTAATGACTGTGACTGAAATGTGAGGGATGATGGGAGGTTCAAGACACACAAACACGCACAATACCAGCCCTCCTTCTTCTTGTGTGTGTGTGTGAACTGTCATTATGTGTGCATCATTTCCGCTGGTTGCCCTGTACGAAAGACACACACACACCTATTGCTGGGAATTGTGTTGCTTGCCTCCTGAAGATGTTCACTTGGTGGTCACGGCCTTCTTTTCATTTTTGTTTTCATTATATTGTTTTTCCCTTGTGTGTGTGTGTTCCATTATAATTTCATTGCACGTTATGTGTGCATCTGTGTGTTTCTCTTTTGCGTTTCCGATACACCGTGTGTATCTTGTGTGTTCATTTTTATGGAATGAATCTTTTTTTCATTATATACAAACCGCTGCAGGGACACCAAGAATAAAGATATGGGTACGGCACGTTCAGTACACAGTGATTTTCCGTTGTTCACCTTGGGGTGGATTGGACTGTGTCCAGGCATCGCAGCCACAGTAAGTAATGAATTTCTTTTTTTTTCTTTCTTTTGCTCTATTATTGTGTCTGCCTCACGCAGTCACTCTTTTTTTACATTTTTATTTTGGTATAAAGATCGGTGGGTTGTGGGTGTTTGAGCGTGCCCCTCTGTTGTGTGTTTCCTTTGTGTGTTTGGGTTGCCACTCACACCGCCCACGTAATAAAAACACATTTCTTTGTTCTCACCTTCTCTCTCGGTGTTGTCACTCACGGCATTGCCACGAACATATTTCTGCTCTTGTGGTGTGTGTTGTTTGTTATTTGTTGTTTGGCTTGATTGAGTGAACGCAGCCTGCGGGGAGATGGACTGAGACTGTTCCGCTTCGGCTTCACGTAATGGGTCTGTGTTTTATTTTTGGGGGTTGGGTTGATGTGCTGGTGTGTGTGGATGCTTCTCTGATGAGAGTGGCACCTGTGATTATTGTATTGTGAGTACCTTGTGTGCTGTTGGTATCCTGTTGTTGTTTTTCTTTTCTTGTGTTTTTCTTTTCCTCTCTGTAGGTGTGTGGCTCCGTGTACATTTTAGGGAATGCGGCAGTGCCTCTCTGATATGAGCATGAGAGACTGTCATTGTGTGTGTGTGCGCTGTGAGTGGGAAGGGGGCTTTGTGTTGCTGGACCACTCCACTGAGGCCTCTGTGGTGGGTTGCATTGAATGGCGGCGTGGCGACATCTACCGACATGTGTGCTGAGTGGCGGTGTGGCTCCCTTTGCGCTGGTCCATTGCCCCGTGGTGCGATTGGGTTCGCGCATGAATGGATTAATGAGATTCCCTCTGTCCCGAGTTACCATCTGGCGGAACGACAGTCAAGGGAACGGACTTGAAGGGCTAAGTGGGGAAAGAAGACCCTGTTGAGTTTGACTCCAGTCTGGCTCTGTGCGGCGGCGTCTGAGGTGTAGTATAGGTGGAAGCGCAGGCACAAATGAAATACCACCACTCGGAACGTTGCTTCACTTATCGAGTGAAGAGACCAATGGGTTTCGCGTGGTCTGTGGGCTATGCGCCGTCTAGGTTTGGGATTTTATGGCGGCAACCCCGTCTCCACGGGAGGTGGCGCGTGTTCGCAAGGGCATGTGTCCCCGTTTCTCTCNAGTGGCACCTGTGATTATTGTATTGTGGGTGCCTTGTGTGCTGTTGGTATCCTGTTGTTGTTGTTGTTCTTTTCTTGTGTTTTTCTTTTCCTCTCCGTAGGTGTATGACTTAGTGTACATTTTAGGGAATACGGCGGTGCCTCTCTGATATGAGCATGTGAGAATGTTATTGTGAGTGGGAGGGGCACTTTGTGTTGCTGGACTGTGAGTGGGAAGGACACTTTGTGCTGCTGGACCCCTCCACTGCGGCCTCCGTGGTGGGGTGCATTGAATGGCGGCGTGGTGACGTCCATCAACATGTGCGTGAGTGACTGGAGTGGCAGTGTGGTTCCTTTACGCCAGTCCACTGCCGTGTGGTGCGATTGGAACCACACATGAATGGATTAATGAGATTCCCTCTGTCCCGAGTTACTATCTGGCGCAACGACAGTCAAGGGAACGGACTTGAAGGGCTAAGCGGGGAAAGAAGACCCTGTTGAGTTTGACTCCAGTCTGGCTCTGTGCGGCGAAATCTGAGGTGTAGTATGGGTGGAAGCGCAAGCACAAATGAAATACCACCACTCGGAAACGTTGCTTCACTTATCGAATGAAGAGACCAATGGGTTTCGCGTAGTCTGTGGGCTATGCGCCGTCTAGGTTTGGGATTTTATGGCGGCAACCCCGTCTCCACGGGGGGCGGCGCGTGTTCGCAAGGGCATGTGTCCCCGTTTCTCTCCTTTACGGGAGGGCCCGTGGGCACCCAACCGTGCTGACAAACTGAACCAACGGGGTTGCTTCGGCAGCTTCGGAGTTTTGTTTCGAGAGACATCTGCCAGATGTGGGGTGTGTGGTTGGGGCGGCATATCTGTTACACGACGATGGCTGTGTGTGTCCTGTGCCCCGTGGGCGTGGGCCTTTGGGTGAAGGGGACATGTGATGTCGTGCCCTCCTAATGTACATCACGGAAGTGGTGACGCGTGTTTGGGCGGGGTCGGATGTTTATGGTGTTGGTGCTTCTGTAAATGCGCTGTTGCCAACCGGTATCGTGAGGAGAATTGCCATGGAAGTAAGGATAACCGGAGAGACGATGTACGTTTGTGTGTGGGTGTTTGTTGACTGGATGGTTTCTTTTTGTATTTGATCGGTTCGGTTTTCTTCTTGGTGTCCTCTCTCCCTCTGTTTGTGTGTGCGTGGTCCATCGTGATGACGCCAACCGGGATGTGTGGAGAGCTGTCGTGGACCCTTCTGGCCCAACCGTTGTTTTGTTTTCGCAGAAATGGGGTTTTGATCCGCCATGGTGGTGTGATTTTCTGGCGGGTACTCGGCGGTGCGTGGATCCAGTGACCGTGGGGTGGGGTTGTGAGATCGGGGATGATGCAGCGCCCCGCAGTACCTCAACGAATGCCACTGTGCCATTATCGTTATTTCTGGGGATTGTGATGTACGGGGGGTTTCCACCTCTGTGGTTGTGGAGTCCACTGTTGCCTGTTGCGCTGCAGTGAATGGGTGACTGTGTCCAGGAAGAGTGCGTGCCGTAATGTGAGTGGTGGGGTTGTGTAGTAGCGGTGTGATCGTGCATGTTGTGTTGCCAATGAGACCCGATAGGTTTGCCAAGCTTTGTTTTTCTCAACAATCCCTGTGTCTGTGGTGGTCCATCGTGACGTTGTGTTCCGCCCGGCGCTGTTGTTTCAATTTCTTGAATACATCTCTTGTCTTCTCTTTTCTTTCTCTCTTTTCTGTTTTGTATTTTGAGGCAGCCATACAAAGGAACACATTTGTGAGTAAGCCTTCAAAGAAGATCCACATGCGCCGTCTGTTGTTCGCTGCGTTGCTCTTGCTGTGTTGTGCCTACGGGTGCATTGCGAAAACTGAGTACAGGACGCCATATCCGCCCGATCCGGACCTGGAGGTATTTCCAGAAACAGAGGAATCCCGTACTTGGGGTATGAAGGTTGTCAACGTCGTCCCAAGAGAAGAGGTCAAGGAAGGGGAATGGCAGAGCATCCGTATTGCTGTGAACCCAGGGATGATTCAGGATGAAATCGTGTACTGTATGTCCAAGGGGCGTAAGATCAATGGATACACCCGCAGGATACGCAATGGATTCGACGAAAAAGTATGTGGTGCGGTGAGTGGATACGCCGGCGTTCAAAGGATGAGAACTTTGATGTTGAAGGTGATGCCTGAGGCCATGGCATTGCATGTTGAACGTCTTAAGGTCGAGCGTGTGAAGGAAGCCCTGAGGATTAATGTGCCATTCGATCTAAAACCCATATCTGATGCCGAGGGTACAATGTGCGCTGAAATGGTTCCGGTTTTTGACGGCGATGAAGGGATGGGTATTCCCGATACGGATTTTGTGATCTATTTGGGCCTTTCTACCAAAAAGCCGGGTACGAAGATTTGCACCTACGACAAGGATGGACGCCCAACATCTGCCATGATCAAATTGAATCCGTTTGAAATCCAATATACGACGAAATTTGTTCGCCTTGTTGCACACGAGATTGCGCACGGGCTTGGGTTCTCAACGGACGTGAAGAAATTCAAGGAAATGGTGCGTAGTGGGGACAACAGCAGCTACAAGGGGTATAATGAGCTCAGCAGCTCACAAGTAAAGAATGCTCTGCAGGACCATTTTAATTGTGACGATTACATTGGAATGAAATTGGATAATTCTCCACCGGAGACAGGGAGAAATGATGACCCCCATTTTGATGGAAGGGTTGCGAGGGACGAGCTGATGGCCCCACTTCATGGAGTTACAGGCGATAAAAGATCGTACAGCTCGTTGACCCTTGCTGCATTTGAGTCTACAGGGTACTACAANTGAACGTCTTAAGGTCAAGCGTGTGAAGGAAGCCCTGAGGATTAATGTGCCAACCAGTCTGCACCCCATATCTGATGCTGAGGGTACAATGTGCGTCGAAATGGTTCCCGTTTTTGACGGCGATCAGGGGATGGGTATTCCCAATGCGGATTTTGTGATCTATTTGGGCCTTTCTACCAAAAAGCCGGGCACGAAGATTTGCACCTATGGCGACGATGGACGCCCAACATCTGCCATGATCAAGTTAAATCCGTTTGAGATCAAATATACACAACAGTATGTTCGCCTTGTTGCACACGAGATTGCGCACGGGCTTGGGTTCTCCATGGACCTGGACAAATTCAGGCAGATGGTGCTTAATGGGGAAAACAGCAGTTACCCGGGGTATAAAGAGCTCAGCAGTCCGGAGGTAAAGAATGCCGTGCAGGACCATTATATTTGTGACGATTACATTGGAATGAAATTGGATAATTCTCCACCGGAGACAGGGAGAAATGATGACCCCCATTTTGATGGAAGGGTTGCGAGGGACGAGCTGATGGCCCCACTTCATGGAGTTACAGGCGATAAAAGATCGTACAGCTCGTTGACCCTTGCTGCATTTGAGTCTACAGGGTACTACAAGGCGGATTACAACAAGGCCGAGAAGTTTTGGGGGAGCAAGATGGGATGCAAGTTCCTCAAGAAACCATAAGCCAAAGATGGCAACATCTCCAGGTGGGACGGTGTGTTCTGCAATCCCAATTACAGAGCAGTCGTTTAGGTGTATACCAGTTTGATTTGTTCTTCCTCCGCATCCTCTGGGTTCTGTTTTGCTGCGGTTCACCGTGCCCGCCTGGTGAAGTGTATGTGTATCCCGTGATATCAATAACTATATTGCTTTTACCTGTGGGAATGGGATATTTCCCCAATATGTTTTAATGGCTGTGACTGAAATGTGAAGAATGGCAGGAGGTTCAAGACACACAAACACGCACACCACCAACCGTCCCTCTCCTTGTGTGTGTGTGTGGACTCTCATCATGTGTGCATCATTCCCACTGTTCGCCCTGTACGAAAAACACACACCTATTGCTGGGAATTGTGTTGCTTGCCTCCCGCACATATTCACATGGTGATCACAGCTTTCTTTTTGTTTTCTTTTCATTATTATATTGTTTTTCCCTTGTGTGTGTGTTTCATTATAATTTCATTGCACGTTATGTGCATCTGTGTGTTTCTCTTTTGCGTTTCCGGTACGCCTTGAGTGTCTTGTGTGTTCAATTTTATGGAATGAATCTTTTTTTTTCATTATATGCAAACTGCTGCACGGACATCAGGAATAAAGATATGGGTACGGCACGTTCAGTACACAATGATTTTCCGTTGTTCACCTTGGGGTGGATTGGACTGTGTCCAGGCATCGCAGCCACAGCAAGTAATGAATTTCTTTTTTTGTTTTCCTTCGCATCTTCGCTCTATTATTGTGTCTGCCTCACGCAGTCACTCTTTTTTTACATTTTTATTTTGGTATAAAGATCGGTGGGTTGTAGGTGTTTGAGTGTGCCCTTCTGTTGTGTGTTTCCTTTGTGTGTTTGGGTTGCTACTCACACCGCCCACGTAATGAAAACACATTTCTTTGTTCTTGTCTTCTCTCTCGGTGTTGTCACTCACAGCATTGCCACGAAGATATTTGTGCTCTTGTGGTGTGTGTGTGTGGCCTGCTTGAGTGACTGTAGCCTGCGGGGAGATGGACTGGGGCTGTTCCGCTTCGGCTTCACGTAATGGATCTGTGTTTTATTTTTGGGGGTTGGGTTGATGTGCTGGTGTGTGTGGGTGCTTCTCTGATGAGAGTGGCACCTGTGATTATTGTATTGTGAGTGCCTTGTGTGCTGTTGGTATCCTGTTGTTGTCGTTCTTTTCTTTTGTTTTTCTTTTCCTCTCTGTAGGTGTGTGGCTCCGTGTACATTTTAGGGAATGCGGCAGTGCCTCTCTGATATGAGCATGGGAGACTGTCATTGTGTGTGTGTGCGCTGTGAGTGGGAAGGACACTTTGTGTTGCTGGACCACTCCACTGAGGCCTCTGTGGTGGGGTGCATTGAATGGCGGCGTGGCGAGATTCGCCGACGCGCGGGTAAACGACGGGAGTAACCATGACACTCTTAAGGTAGCCAAATGCCTCGTCTTCCAATTAGAGACGCGCATGAATGGATTAATGGGATTCCCTCTGTCCCGAATTACCATCTGGCGAAACGACAGTCAAGGGGAACGGACTTGAAGGGCTAAGTGGGGAAAGAAGACCCTGTTGAGTTTGACTCCAGTCTGGCTCTGTGCGGCGACATCTGAGGTGTAGTATAGGTGGAAGCGCAAGCACAAATGAAATACCACCACTCGGAACGTTGCTTCACTTATC